CCCCCCCATTTATGTCTGAGAATTGGGGGGGGGGCAGGGAGGGGGAATTACTCATCATTAAAAGATGTTCAGATGTTAACGCAGAATCGTTTTTGTAACGAAGTCATTCACCCATAATCACCTCTCGTTAGCGTTATTTGCTATTTGAGGGGCTTTCTCAAAGATTCGTTGCGCCCAAGGTAACTTTGTTCGCGCTGACAAAATCAAAAAGCGCAGACAAATCGGGGGTGCTCCCTAAGCAACCTTCCCAGTTGTTTCAGCGTCAGAGATGCTGTTCCTCCGCATACACTCAGCGTCAGCTTCTGCAGAGGCTATTTTATGTTTTGGCGTGAGCGATGCGAAGCCTGCACCTGGTTGGGGGAGAGGAGGGGGCGAAACTCGCCAGCATCACACGCATTTCTTGCACGTCCTTGATTTTACGGGTTAATGACATTTGTTTCAGCAGACAAAGTAAAGAAAAAAAAAAAAAATCCCAGTAGCCCAGGCAACTCTGCAAAGCCTCTGGGTGCCCGGTGCCGTCGTGGGCAGGGGACCGGAGAGCTTTGTTCCACCGCAGGCTGCGGCTGGGCGGGCAGGCGGAGCCGAGGGGGTTGCCCACCTCCGCTAGAATTCAGCCCAGCTCCCTCACCTGACACCCGGCCATTGCGGAGGTGAGCAGAAATACACCTGCAAGAATTACTAACCGCATCGCGAAAGCCAAGGAGGTCGGGGCTAGCAAAGCAGAAGGTTGGAAATCGGTCTTTGCAGAAAAGATCACCCTGTCCCCCAACCGAGAAATGCTTTCGCCTTACAGCAGGGCGGCTGTATAACTTGCTGCGCTGCTGCTCAGGACGCCTACAAGCATATGCTCTAGGTATAGAATTATAATGAGCGCATATAGGTATTTTTACACATACACACCGCGCCTGTAGACTGCTGTACATTCCTCTCTTCAAATACACTCTTCTGCCATATACTCTCCCCCGGGTCTATGCAGAAATGGAGGGGCACGCACAGAAGCTGGGGAGGGGGGAAGCCCGGGGTATTTTGCAGTGGTTCTTCCTCGGCGCACCCGCCAGCCGCAGGGAAGGCAGCGGGGTCGTAAGCTCCGTTCTGCTGCCCTTCGGGTTACATTAATGCCTCTAAAGGCACAGAACAAATTAAAAGCGACAAGGCAGCAGTCCAAGAAGTATTTTGGTCGCGAAGACCCCCTAGACATCTTCTAGATTCATAGGGTTGACTTATTTTGGGGTTTTGTTCGGGTCTTTTTTTCCCCCCAGAAAACTGACAATATTAAATTCTGATGTTCTTTTCTAAGAGATATTTTTGCTTTCTCCGTCAGCACTGAAACGTGAAATCGAAGGTTCACCCCTGTACAAGAGGAATCGACCTCCTTTACTTTCAGAAAGGGCCAAGAGCACCCCTCGCTCCCCCGCACCCCAGGGAAGGGCTTTCTCGGCGGGGCGCGGCCGGAGGCTGCCGCTGGGGACCCGTGCTTGCACGAGGGGGAAACCCACAGGGAAACCCGACTTGGATTCAAACATTTTCACTCCTCCTGACAGCCCCGTCGCGGGCTATCGGGACCGCAGAGCCGCGCTGCTCCCGCCCT